CTTAAAGCACTTGTTGCAGGCTGCTGAGTTTGCATATTTTGCTGTGATTTACAGCCAGACTTTTGACCGCTTTGCCTTGGTCAATTTTAATCTGTAGCTCTGCTCTAAAAGAAAGTACGTACCTGACCCCGCCTACTATCCTCGGAAACGTAAAATGATTGTCTAGAATCTAAAGTGTATCAAAGCTCAGGAAAAAAATGCACCGAAAGAAAGCACCGAGATGTGCGCTGCTTTTCGGTCTGTTTACTACCCATCCCTACTAAGGAGACTGTTTCTAGTGAAAAAAGACATTCCTGCAAAGCATGACGGGACAGAAATATTTGTGTGAACATGCTTAAGATGAAAAAAAAAAACAAGTCAGGGTCTGTGAATGATTTCACTGAGCATAAAATAATAAATTTACTGTTCTGAAATAGAAAATGGTAAGATTTTACATGATGCTATAGTTAAATGAGTTGCACTAACTTCAAACTTAATGATTGATTATAAATATTTTATAATAAAATAAATCCAGTTTGTGCTACAAGAATTTTATTGTCCATTCATGAACAAAGTGGCTTTAACTCAAAATATGTGTTTGAGGAAGAAATATTAACAACAACAACATACTGTTCACTTGATGACCACAGATCATCACATAATGACGAAGCTTCTGGTATGTTGCCTTCTAGTGTTTACTGCTGACATTGCTGCAGATTAGTGATGTGCGAATCATGAACGAATTGTTCAGTACTCGAGAATCACTTTACTGACTCATGAATCATGATTCACAAGGCCAACTGACTCATCCCCATTGCTGTTAGCAGCAATGTATCTAGCTTATAATTAAAATTGTGGAGAAAAACACAACATCCAGTATCTTAACAAAAAAAATTCTGCTCTGAACTGGAAGAAAAAACCCTGAGTAGAAGCTCACATCAAGAAAATAACTCCTCGGTTCACAGTAGCATCGCTCCGCTAACATGCTAACAGCACATTTGAGCTACTCAGCCCCTCCCTCCTGTGCTGAATCATAGCAGGAACGAATCACTCACCCCCTCACTCCTGGCGCACAGCTTCTTCTTCTTCTTGGTTGGAAACCAATGTTAAGGTGCATTACCGCCCCCTGGCTCACAGCTCAGTGGACATTTAGATGAGAAAATATATATTTAACACATTTAAGGAAAATGCTAATAAAATAAAAATAAACAAAATAAATGTTTATTAAGCAATTTTGATAGGAAATCTGCCGGGACCTCCGAAGTAAGCGGAAATTGGACTTCAGTTTTGCGTCACCGCCCTTGGCTACCTATCGAGCTGGTGGGTAACAGATATCACCGAAAACATCGGAGCACTTTTGCAAATATGTGATGTCTTGATAAACCGAGCAGATATGTGAAGTTTAAACAACTACATTCTCGCCTAAAAATATCTTAAAAGTTTATTTACCAGAAACACAGAAAGAGTAATTAGAGTAATATTAAAACTTAGTAGCGGCAGCCATTGTTGAAAACTGGAATTGTCTGGTCAGCACTATGAATTCTGGGATATGGT